GATTAGTTTGAGTTCGTAGCCTAGCCATTCCGAGTCATTACGCCCTTAGGAGTGTCTTTACACTTAACGCCCTAAGACCATCTGGTTTGGGAGTCGTTGGCTCAACGCTTGTTACATGGGGTGATTAGAGAGCTTAAGGAACTTGGACATTGCACATGGTCATACATAAAAATAAAAAATGAAATCAATAAAAAAAAAAAAAAAGAATGTTTGATTAAATAACAAGGTTCATTCAATGTCTTGATGTCTGGTACTATATCTACATGTTAGTTTGAGGGTAAGGCTATGCCATTACTTTGATTTGCTAGGATATCAACACATTTTGATGCCGGTTCACTTAAAAGGATGATATAATTGATCCAATTTGCATGATTAATTGATTGATGTGTGAAGGACCGTTTTTGCTTACATGATGTTGAAACATTGATAATAGCTTAGAAATGGCAGAAATTTGCATACTTGAGGTAGTCTACTTTCAACACTTGTTTAATATGTGTCGTTACTTCTCAAGTAAGAAAGAGCTGTTGATGTTTGTGGGTACCATTTCTGTAAACCCTCACGAGACTTCACTCGTCCACTAGGGGTAACCTAGGGGTTTAAAAGGCTTGTTGCATATGCTAAATGCAACCGTGATCCCTACGAAAGTGGTGTTATCTTTATTTGTTTTATTAGTTCATAGTTGTATATATGTTTATTTCATTTCCATGCTGTAGTTCATTGCTAGGGACTAGCAATATCTAAGTTTGGGGGCGTGATAAGTGCTTAAATGTTGCACATTTTAGCACCTAAGTTAGGGTATTTCAGTCGTTGTAGCTATCTTAATTTCATGTTTTAGTCCTAATTTATGTTTATGTGTATTTCAGGGCAATAAAGTTAAACTGAGCTAAGAACGGTCCATTAAAGTCTTTTTAGAGTCAAGCAAAGATATTCAGAAAAAGCTCAGAAAATGGCAAAAAGGAGGTCGCAGCCCATTGCTCGTATAGTGTGTTTATTCTTCAAAAGCGGTCAATCTCAGGCTTTTGATGATGTTCCCAAAGATGAAGAAGCAAACTAATGAGTTCGGGGCTAAAATGGAGCTAAATAGGGCTTAAAGGAAATTTTCAACTCTGGGGGGATCGATCCCCAGGGTGGGGGATTGATCCCCCAGGACTTAGCAACATTACAGTTTTTATTTAATTTTTGGGCTCATTTTGGGAACTGTTGGGCTTTAATGAGATTGTTACTTAAGGCCCAGTGAACCATTAGATTAGGGTTAGTTTTAGTTTTTATTTAGGTAAAGATTATTAGAGAAAAAAAAAAAAGTTTTAATTTATTTATTTTTCTGTATCGTAGTATCGTATTTTCTCTCTGGAAAAACACGCGAAGAAAGGGAAAAAGGAAGAACAGGCTAGGGTTTGGAAGAAAAGTTCAGAGAAGATGAAGCAGATGATGGGGATTGTCCTGTCTTCGACTCCATCAACCATGAGTGGCTGATTCTTCTACTTAGGGTTGGATAAACCCTAAGCATGTAACCTATTCTCTCTCTCTCTTTTCATACTTTTTGGGGATTAATTTATGTAATTAGTGTATAGTCTTGAATATTATGAATTAAATTCTTCCAATTGATTATCTGTATTAATCTCAAATTGTCTTATGTGTGGTTGATTGATAAACAAATTTTACACATGAATTCTTTGTTAATTGATTCTTGTGATGGCTATGCATGGTATTGCTTAGTTGTAATTGTGTTTCAAATTGATGAAAAATGCTTCCATTTGATGGATGGTACTACATGTTTAGGTTAAATTGTTGTCTAATTAGTTTTAAATTCATGTCTAATTAGTTTAATTTAAGTTTAATTAATTTAATTACAATTCAATTATTAGGTAAGTAGACCATCCATACTTATGTTTGAATTCCGTACTTTTTGTCACAATTGCATTATCTTCTAGATTAATGTGTGTTAAATTTGTAACTTGGATTGATAAATCATGCTTTGAATGGGTGAATTGCACTACACTTAGTTTAATTGTCATTAGGTAGTTGATTCATGCTTGAAATTGATGGTTTACACTTTTCATTGCACTTGTTAGCCACATATAGATTACATAGTATTATTTCCCCAATTAGTTGAAAGTGAGTGAGTTAGGGAATGTGCTTAGTGGTGAATCCTACACCCTAAGTCTTTTTCCAATCTCTTAAACTCTATTTCTTTATTACAATCATTTAGTTTAAAATTAGTTTTAATCACAAACAAAACCCTTTTGGCAATCACATAAGCACTAAAGTAGAATTCAATTCTGGAAAACCTATAATTGTTTAGATCTCTTGGGACGATCCCTACTCACTTCATACTCCATAGTATAAGTGTTTAGTGGTTTTATAAATTTTAAAATATGGTGCCCACTTGACATTATTTCTAAACCTAAAGTGTTGTGCATTATTTTGTGCACACGCTCGGTCGCACCATCTACCATACAACGCCTCAAATGAAGCCATGTGAATACTTGCCTGATAACTGTTGTTGTAGGCAAACTCAATAAGTGGAAGGTGATCCTCCCAACTACCACCCAAGTCAAGTACACAGGCCCGAAGCATATCCTCCAAGATCTAGATAGTACGCTCCGACTGGCCGTCCGTCTGTGGATGGAATGCCGTGCTAAGGTGCAACGCTGAGCCAAACGCTGCTTGAAGTCCTTCCCAGAACTTCGAGGTGAACTTGGCATCTCTATCCGACACAATAGTCACTAGAACTCCGTGCAATCTCACAATCTCCTTCACATAAAGTACACCAAGTGCCTCTGCATCATTTGTTGCCTTAATAGGCAAAAAGTGAGCAGTCTTGGTCAACCTATCAATAATGACCCATACGGCTTCATTTCCCCTCCGTGACCTAGGAAGACCTGTCACAAAATCCATGGCAATCTCCTCCCATTTCCACTGCACTACCGGCAATGGTTACAATAAACCAGCTGGTCTCTGGTGCTCGGCCTTCACCTGCTGACAGGTAAGGCACTTAGCCACAAATTGTACAACATCCTTCTACATTCCACTCCACCAATACTGACGTCTTAGATTGTGATACATTTTGGTACCATCCGGATGAACTGCAAAGCGGGAAGTTTGAAACTCCCGTAAGACGTCCTCACGACAAACTGTAGGAACAACCAACAAACCCCTAAACCGTAGACCTCCATCTGCATGTAAGGTCCAATCCTTCACGATCTCGCCACTGGAGATCAAAGTGTAAATGGCATCCAAATCTGAATCCTGTATCTGTGACTCAATCACCCATCTAACAAGAGTGGGTTAAGCCACGAGACTAAACAAGAATGCTGACTCACTGCCATCATCATCATCATCAAAATAATACAATCCCATTTCAGCCAAATTTTCCAGCATTTTCTATTTCCGAATGGCTAAACTAGCCAAAGTCCCACGAGATTTCTGGCTTAAAGCATCAGCTACCACATTTGCCTTGCCAGGATGATACTGCAAATCAAAGTTATAGTCTTCTAAGAATTCAACCCATCGCCTCTGTCTGTTGTTCAAGTCCTTTTGGGAGAAAAGGTACTTGAGACTCTTGTGGTCCGAGAACATCTCAAATCTCTCACCATATAAATAGTGTCTCCAACACTTCAAAGCAAATACAACTGCCGCTAACTCTAAGTCATGAGTAGGGTAGTTAAGCTCGTGAGTCTTCAACTATCGAGACCCATAAGCCACTACTCTATCATCTTGCATCAGTACACAACCCAAACCATCACGTGAGGCGTCACAATAGATCACATAACCCAAGCCACGCTCAGGTATCACCAACACCAGAGCCGTAGTCAACCTTATTTTCAACTCTTGAAAGAATGACTCACAGGCCTCATTCCATGCAAACTTGATCCCTTTCCTGGTCAATCTGGTCATAGGAGCTGCCAAACGGGAAAAATCCTTCACAAATCTCCGATAATAACCCGCTAGGCCAAGGAAACTCCGGATCTCAAAGACATTCTTGGGTTGCTCCCAACTTAAAACTGCCTCTATTTTTGAAGGATCAACTGAAACCCCACCTTTCGAGACAACATGTCCCAAAAATTTCACCTCTTGTAGCCAAAACTCACACTTTTCATACTTGGCGTACAAACGGTGCTCCCGTAGAATCTGCAACACTATACCCAAATGGACCTCGTGCTCTTCCCGAGTCCATGAATACACAAGAATATCATCCATAAAAACTACCATAAACTGATCCAAGTAATCGTGGAAGACACGGTTCATTAAATCCATGAATGCCCCCGGCGCATTGGTTAAACCAAAAGGCATAACAAGAAACTCGTAATGTCCATACCGCGTACGAAACGCGGTCTTTGGAATATCCTCCTCTCTAACCCGTAACTGATAATAGCCTGACCTCAAGTCAATCTTCGAAAAACAACTGTCTCCCCTCAACTGATCAAATAAATCATCTATCCTTGGTAAAAGATACTTGTTCTTGATGGTGGCATGATTCAACTTTTGGTAATCAATGCATAACCTCAAAGAACCATCTTTCTTCTTAGAGAACAAGACCGGTGTACCCCACGGTGACACACTCGGTCGGATAAAGCCTTTCATCCTCAAACCATCAAGTTGCTTCTTCAATTCTTCTAATTCAATCGGTGCCATCCGATATGGTGCCATAGAGATTGGTGCGGTACCAGGCATCAAATCAATAGCAAATTCCACCTCTCGGTGTGGAGGCAACTCAGTCAAGTCCTCCGGAAACACATCCAGAAAATCACGCATAACTGCTGGATAATCAACCCCATAAAACTCAACATCATCATCGGCGAAAAGACTAGCCAAGAAGAATGTCTGCCGATCTCGACCCTTAACACCATAAAATGAATGAGTGAGAGGATCACACCGATCTCCCACAAAACAGAAACAATCCCCATCCGGGGTACACACTGAAACTCTGCCCCTGAAATAATCAATGACAGCTCTGAAGGATGACAACCAGTCCATCCCAAGAATGACATCAAATCCCGTCATCTCGAGAAGGATGAGATTGAACTCAAGAACACGTCTGGCAATTGTGATGGAACTGAACCCCCGATAGGCGTGTCAACACAAAGCGGTCTGTCTAACTGACTGACCTCTAAACCCAATGCCCGTGTAAATGATGAAGCAATGAATGAATAAGAAGCACCAGAATCAAACAATATACGAGCCCAAGAATGGGACACAAGAAACATACCCCTAACAACTGAAGGACTGGATGGTGACTCGACTGGAGTGAGTGCAAACACGCGACCTTTGGTCCACTGCCCCTGGGAACTGCCTGCCTGATAGCCAGACTGATGAGTAGGTGCACTTGAAGAAGCTCCCCTTCCAGGTCGAGAACTCTGGGCTGACATAGCTGACTGAGACGGCTGAGGTGGTAGTGGTGGTCGAAACCCTGACTGAACTGTGGCAGACTGCATCTGCCTCTGCTGTGAACCTCCACCTTTGCCCAAACCACTGCCCTGCTGTGGATAATCTTTCACCCTGTGGCCCTACTGGCCACACCCGAAACATCTACCAGACGCCACCTGAATCTGAGTACACTGGGACTTGTGATGCCCTGGCTGCCCACACTTGAAACAAATCATCCGAGCTACCTGTGTCTGAGTGCATTGGGACTTGTAATGTCCCAACTGCCCACATCTGAAACAAGTAACATTCGGTCTAGAAGACCCCATGGACACTGAAGCTGTGGGTGCAGATCTAACTGGCTGCTGTCCCCTGAACCCTGACTGCTCATGCTTCTGCTTCTTACTTGATTGACCTTCAGAGAAAGTACACATACCCCTGTTGTGCTTGCAGGACTCCCTGATAGCCTTGTTGTCCTTACTCTCAGCCTCAACCACTAAAGCCTTTCGCACTGCTTTTGCATACTCTGTCGGTTCTGAAGCAGCTACAATTGGCCTAATGGTAAGATCAAGGCCATCAACAAATTTCTCAATCTTTCCTTCTTCATCATTAGCAATTCCCGGTGTAAACCTCAAAAGTGATGTAAACTTGTTTTCATACTCTGTAACTGTCATACTTCCTTGCTTTAACCCATCAAACTCCTTCTTTAGTTCCCTCCGCTTAGGCGCTGGAAAGTACTTCTCATAATACAACTTCTTGAATGTAGCATATGTCATAGTATCCAGATTATGGGTGTGAGAAACGGTCTTCCACCAAATCTCAGCATCGCCCACAAACTTGTAAGTCGCTAATGTGATCTTTAACTTGTCCGTTGCCAAATTCATGGCATTAATATGCTTCTCCACCCTATCCAGGAAACTGTCCGCAACAAGCGGATCTGGACCACCTCAAACAAGGTTGGCATCAACTTCACGAACCTGGCAATGTGAGAAAGAGTATCATCTAGCTTATTTGTCTTCAGAGGTGGTGGTGGTGGAGCCGGTGGTGGCACAAACTGTGACGATGACGCACCTGTCGGTCGATATGCATCAAAAATAGCCTCTTGAATGGCTAACCTAATTTGTTCCCTATTCATCTGAAAAGGTGGATCAACAGTCCCCCTCGCTTGTCCCCCTCTTGGTGGGACCAAATCACGTAACAAGATATCTTCCTTAACTTGCTCCTGATCCCTTTCCACGGGATTGGAGCTAGAACTTTCCCCGGGATCCCTTCGTGTTGCCATGACGCTATAAGAAAAAGGAAACAGATCAAAAACAATGACACTAAAATACGCACGAGAACGAAGTTCTCACACGAATGACTTGACAAGAATGGAAACACATAAGCACCTTTCATAGTCCCAGAATACCCAACTAATGATAAACATGATCATGCTAATTATATACAACAACATTAAGCTAACACATAAGCATATAAGCATGCCATCACGTAAACAATTAAGCAAGTAAGCAAATAACTCAACTCCCCATGCAATCCTAGGTAAGCCTCTACCCGTCGTCCTAATGGTATTCGAACCATGGCTCTGATACCAAATTTGTAACGACCCAAATGGATACCAAAATAATAATAAAAATCTATAAAAATTTCGGCATGACCTCCGCAGAAAATGTCTCTAAATAACCTGTTGAAATACAAAAAAATAAATACAATGGCCTCACTGGGCCTTAAATCTAACATATCCTGTCCCAACGCAATATACATATATTATATCACATCTCCAAAGTGACTATATACATACAAAATCCCATTCCTCCATCTCATCCAACAAGGAACATACTTTGGTTACATCAAGTTACAGTCCAAAAAGCGTAGTTAGAATTTAAAAGTCCATGGCTTACAACATTATACTTATTAAACTAAAGTTTTACGAGTTAGTCAATATTACATTTACAAAATATTAGAGAGTTTTAATACAAAAGATAGCAAAAATAAAATAAAATAGGTCTTCGTGCTGGTCTAAAATCGTGGTGGATCGTCGTCCGCCACCTCTTTTCCATGTCCTGAAAAATGTTAGAAATAATGGGGTGAGCATAAGCTCAGTAGGAAGTGTCTAAGACACACTTCTTATATCCCCGTGAATCCATACAATGAATAGATAAAAAAGTGAAAGGGATCATGCTATAAGGAAACACACACCCTCAAATACAATAACAAGTATGTAACAAATACCACCCAATCACAAGTTTACCACAATGTCATGAAGTGCAATATGCAAATGTTACTCCCCATTTTCCGAAACATTTCCGTTTCAACTTCCAAAACCGTTAGTGTAATTCGACCCAAGGCACCTCCAAGGCGTCACGAATGGAGGGTTGACTAACTATCCACGACCACAAGGCACCTCCAAGGCGTCGCATCCGGCCTAGTTAGCTCAACTATGATCCCTTCTAGACTACACTAACACCACGGACCACTAGGCGCCTCCTAGGCGTCCGGTTTTCGCAAACTCCTTTAAAAAAAATATTTTCCCCAAAATAATTTTGTTTGTTCAAAAAAAAACATTTTTTTTCCCCCTTTCTCTCTCCCAATGAATGCATGAATGCGCATGCTTCAATTTATCAATTCAACCATAGGCTTTCATACATTCCATTTACATATCATCACAATTTAATAGAAATTTATAAGCATTCATTTCTTCTATTTATTTATTTATTTATTGACAATAGCATCATTTTCTTTCAAAGCAATAAATAAATAAATACATAATCTTAGGACATACAACATGTCAACACAAAACATGCTCAATCACCGTAATAAATCTAGTCATATATATGAATTCAAATAATACGTGGAACACATTTAGCATTTTAGTTAAACATGCTTCAACCACAAACTAGATAATCAAAATTAGCATGCTTAGGATCAAATTTAAGGGGCAAAATTCACAAAAAGAGCTAAGAAGTTGTAGATTAGAACACCCCTACCTCAAATTGATGAAAACCCTCAATTTGAGCCCAAGAACCCTAGAATTTTGAACTCCCTAGAGTGCACCAAATGATGATTGGCTCCTATCAAATTAACGGGCTCGACGAGTTCAACAACTTTGCTTCACAATGTTCTACCAAAATCCAATTGGTGAAGATGAGATCAAAGCTTAAAATTACAAAAAGAGAAAAAGAAAAGATATGCCGAGAGATGGCCGGAAGCAGAGAGAGAGAGAGAGAAATATATGTCTGCATAATGACCTTATGGCCTTTAGTCATGTTTTTAAGTTATTGGTGGGGCCCACCTACTTTTGAAAAAAATCTTAACTTTAATATATATACATATACATATATATAAGCATAACTATTACATTCTCCCTAACTTTAAAAGATTTCGTCCCCGAAATCAAGTCATACCTGAGGAAAAAAACAACTCTGGATACTTGGAGCGAACCTCCTGTTCAAGCTCCCAAGTAGCCTCCTCAACTCCATGATGCCTCCAAAGAACCTTTACCAATGGTATCGTCTTTTTCCTCAACACCTTCTGCTGTGTGTCAAGGATTTGAACTGGTCCCTCCTCGTAAGAAACATCCTCATCAATGTCTACATCAACCCAACTCAAAATGTGAGACGGATCTGGCTCGTACTTCCGTAGCATTGATACATGAAAGACATTATGAACTTTGTCCATCTGCGGTGGCAAAGTAAGTCTGTAAGCAACCTCTCCTACACGGTCCAAGATCTCAAAAGGCCCAATGAATCGTGGCGACAACTTGCCACTCTTTCCGAACCTCATCAACCCTTTCCGTGGAGAAACCCGAAGAAAAACGTGATCTCCCACCTCAAAGGATAACGGTCGCCTCCGCCTATCTGTATAGCTCTGCTGTCGGCTCTAGCCTGTAAGCAGCCTCTGTCTAATCAACTTAATTTTCTCAGTAGTCTCGAGTACAATGTCGGGTCCTAAGGCGGCTGTTTCGCCCACCTCAGTCCAACAGACTGGAGACCTACAAGGTCAACCATACAACGCCTCAAATGGAGCCATCTGAATACTTGCCTGATAACTGTTGTTGTAGGCAAACTCAATAAGTGGAAGGTGATCCTCCCAACTACCACCCAAGTCAAGTACACAGGCCCGAAGCATATCCTCTAAGATCTGGATAGTACGCTCCGACTGGCCGTACGTCTGTGGATGGAATGCCGTGCTAAGGTGCAACGCTGAGCCAAACGCTGCTTGAAGTCCTTCCCAAAACTTCGAGGTGAACTTGGCATCTCTATCCGACACAATAGTCACTGGAACTCTGTGCAATCTCACAATCTCCTTCACATAAAGTACACTAAGTGCCTCTGCATCATTTGTTGCCTTAATAGGCAAAAAGTGAGCAGTCTTGGTCAACCTATCAATAATGACCCATACGGCTTCATTTCCCCTCCGTGACCTAGGAAGACCTGTCACAAAATCCATGGCAATCTCCTCCCATTTCTACTGCGCTACCGGCAATGGTTGCAATAAACCAGCTGGTCTCTGGTGCTCGGCCTTCACCTGCTGACAGGTAAGGCACTTAGCCACAAATTGTACAACATCCTTCTTCATTCCACTCCACCAATACTGACGTCTTAGATTGTGATACATTTTAGTACCACCCAGATGAACTGCAAAGTGGGAAGTATGAAACTCCCATAAGACGTCCTCACGAAAAACTGTAGGAACAACCAACAAACCCCTAAACCGTAGACCTCCATCTGCATGTAAGGTCCAATCCTTCACGATCTCGCCATTGGAGATCAAAGTGTAAATGGCATCCAAATCTGAATTCTGTCTCTGTGACTCAATCACCCATCTAACAAGAGTGGGTTGAGCCACGAGACTAAACAAGAATGCTGACTCACTGCCATCATCATCATCATCAAAACAATACAATCCCATTTCAGCCAAATTTTCCAGCATTTTCCATTTCCGAATGGCTAAACTGGCCAAAGTCCCACGAGATTTCCGGCTTAAAGCATCAGTTACCACATTTGCCTTGCCATGATGATACTGCAAATCAAAGTTATAGTTTTCTAAGAATTCAACCCATCACCTCTGTCTGTTGTTCAAGTCCTTTTGGGAGAAAAGGTACTTGAGACTCTTGTGGTCCGAGAACACCTCAAATCTCTCACCATACAAATAGTGTCTCCAATACTTCAAAGCAAATACAACTGCCGCTAACTCTAAGTCATGAGTAGGGTAGTTAAGCTCGTGAGTCTTCAACTATCGAGACCCATAAGCCACTACTCTATCATCTTGCATCAGTACACAACCCAAACCATCACGTGAGGTGTCACAATAGATCACATAACCCAAGCCACGCTCAGGTATCACCAACACCGGAGCCGTAGTTAACCTTATTTTCAACTCTTGAAAGGATCACTCACAGGCCTCATTCCTTGCAAACTTGATCCCTTTCCTGGTCAATCTAGTCATAGGAGCTGCCAAACGGGAAAAATCCTTCACAAATCTCCGATAATAACCCGCTAGGCCAAGGAAACTCCGGATCTCAAAGACATTCTTGGGTTGCTCCCAACTCAAAACTGCCTCTATTTTTGAAGGATCAACTGAAACCCCACATTCCGAGACAACATGTCCCAAAAATTTCACCTCTTGTAGTCAAAACTCACACCTTTCATACTTGGCATACAAACGGTGCTCCCGTAGAATCTGCAACACTACACCCAAATGGACCTCGTGCTCTTCCCGAGTCCGTGAATACACAAGAATATCATCCACAAAAACTACCACAAACTGATCCATGTAATCGTGGAAGACACGGTTCATTAAATCCATGAATGCCGCCGGCGCATTGGTTAAACCAAAAGGTATAATAAGAAACTCGTAATGTCCATACGGCATACGAAACGTGGTC